GATTATGTTGTCATCCAAACTTTTTTCTTTATTAATCTAGATGTCCAAATATATATTAAGATTTTTATTTTGGTATAATATAAGGGGAAAAATATTCCCTGAGCACCAAAAATCAGAGTTTACAAGTGTAAGATATTTTCATGAGAATTGTATAATTTGATAATATAATCATACAATATGAATTCATGCAACTGTTTTAAATTTCCTACTAATTTTCACTTCAATGTTGTTGACAATTTGCAAATTTTATTGTCGTCTAAAATTAAATTATTTTAAAGTAAATTATACAAATGAAAATTAAAAGAAATTTTACTGCTTTGTTGCTCTAATATATGTTTAAGTGATATATGATCAGAAAACAATGAACTAAACAATTAACTCCATGAACTTCCATATAGCCAAATCAATTATTTACTATTGAAACAGAAGAATGAAAATAGCACTCCAAAGCATTGTAAACACTGAATTAAAGCATCATGTATTTCATGCAAACTAGCAATTATAGTTAAGTAGTAGCTTATCTGTATCAGCCCTTATGTATGTAATGTTAAAGCATTTTCAGATACAGTAGCTGTTTTTATACAAGTCTTTAAGACACATATTACACATAAGTGAATATAAATGATGTGCAATTACACTGTTATATGTTGACAGTATGAATGACACTATACTTGACAACTGTCACTTTGAAATGACAAAGACTCTGCTGTGTTACCCATTGCCAAATCTCACTCATCATTGACTAGTTGAGTAGTTGAATACAGGTGCAAAGGGTGAACGTCCTATGAAAGGGTAACCCTGAGAGTTGAAACCTGAATCCTACTGTCATAGAGCACTTCCACAGTAACTCGGCAAGCTATACAGTATCTAACACAGAGTAGAAGACTGAAGGAAAAGAAGAAAACATCACCAGCAGTCTACAGCTCCAAGTAAAACAGTCGGAAAGGAATGTAAGTATGTTAAGCCACCAAGATTTTTTCTCATTTATATGAGTCATAGTTTCCACACCATAAGAATTTTCAGACAAATAACATTCATCCTTTGAAAATGTAAAACAAAAAAGTCTGATATGAAAACCAAGAGAAAAGCGATCTTAAAATATAATACACACAGTGACATATACATTTAGCAATAATAGTGCAAAATTCAGCGGGACAAAGACAGCTGGTTGTTATGGAACACTCTCAGGAGATCCTGTATATACTGCTAAATTAGTTCCATGTGTCACCTAATGTACCCCACATATACTCAGTATGCACACTGTGGTTCAAGCATGAAATACAAGAGTATGACAAGACAAGATCAGAGCTGGGAATGTTGAACTTTACAGATGACACTGTAAAAATTAAGGTATTTTCCCTCATAGATGAGTGGTCTATGGTGCCAAAGTTAGTGATTTTGTTTTCTATAATGCTCCTATAGCCTTATGAATTTTCTTCAGAGTTACAACATTATCTTTATTTCAAGTATCCTACTGGTTTATCAATATCCCTAAGGAAAGTTCTTTTGTTGTTGTTGTTTTTAAAATAAACAGCAGCAAAAAATGTAATATATAGCAGGTTTGATTTTATGATAAATTTTAATAGTGTAATCTAATATATTGCAAAGACATTTGAAATGAATTTCCTTAATATGAAATGTCTTGCAAAGAGAAATTTCATATTAAAATTTTATTGAATATCAAGTTTAAATAACCATCCTTGATAAAATTAGGTACATGATTTGCTCAAATGTTCTTACCTTTCAACCAACAGAACTAGCTTGCATGATCACTTTTCATCTCTCTATAAATATGTTGTATGGAAAACAAACACACAGAGAATGACAAAACCCTTACTGTTGTAAGTGATGTTAAAGCCACGTCCTGACATTGAGTGATCAGCTTGAAATTCTAATCGCAGTATATGGCTATTACTTGTAAGGTGAGAAGGCACCTCAGCCCCAGTGAAGGTTCCAAGAATAGGAGAATCTGGAGAGTCACCATCTTTAACAGCAAGGAAATCAAATTGGGATTCCAGATCAAAGTCATTGAAAGAAAGGTGGATCCGGCTTCCTGGATCAGAGATGATTGTCCAGATGCAATTTAAATTATTTCCATACCCTTCTGGGTAGTCAGGGGAAAGAACTGTTCCCATTGGTGCAGTAAAGTTAGAGAGGCAAGGAACTGGTAAAATAGGAAGATTATGAAATTCAATAAATCTTCAAAAATAGAATCTTAACATTTTTGTGATAATCTATAATAATCAATTAATGCTTGCAAAAATAGTAAACAATGTAAATTATTTTATAAAACAGAAAGAAAATGTCAGCTTTTATCTTAAAATTTCTGTTTTTTGTACTGAAGATTGATCTATGACTTGGTGCATGACCAATAAGTGCCATGCTGCAAACAGCACCTCCAAATATACTCTTACATATTGGAAAAAGCTATCAGTACCTGGATGAACTTAAGACTATATGCTTAAACATATAAAAAACCATAATTTAAAAAACAGAAGCTTTGGCTAGGATTGTGAATTAGCCCTAAACAAAAGGGCTCAGACAGGTATATCAACATACTTTTCCTCTGATAGACTTCTGCCAAATTAAAAAAAATCCACTTTGTTGAAATATAATGATAACAGTATGAATGTAAAAGTGTGTCAATAGATAATACAAATGTTGGGCTTGTTTTAGTAAAACTGGAAAACATAATGTGATTTGGAAAAATATGTTCTTGTAATCTAAGCATTTTTACATCATAAACATTAATGAATTTTGCCCTGTGCACTGTGTGATTAGTGTGAGCACCTCCATGAAAAATTAATTAAGGCATTACACAGAGAGTATAAGCTTTAAATATTTAAGTGTTTTCATTGCAAATAAGCATATACTATCTTGTCAAAATAAATGAGCTTATTAGAATTAGCTAAGATGTATAATTTCCATAAGAAATATACCATCTATAAAGTATAAAATGCCATGAAATTAAATATATAAGAAAGCAAGTAATATAAACATTTTTGCAATTACCAAGTGAACTATTTTAACTTTATTTAAATCTCTGTTGAAATTTATAATTTGGCATAAGTACACTTGTTAAAGATAGTATCTCAAAGTGCTGCTTGCACAAAAATAATTACACGGTTCCAGCTCTTTCAATTAATTACAGAAGCAATTATATGCAAGGACAGGGTAGCATATGCCATGTAGAAGCAAAGCATTTGGTACTCACAGATACAGATGGGTATGTTTGCAGACCATTGGTTATTCTCTTGACAAACAATGGATTTCTCTCCAATTAATTCAAATCCAAACTGGCATTCAAATCTTAAAACATCACGATTAGAAAAGCCATCTCCTTCTCTAATTCCATATAAGGGTGTACCAGGATCACCACAACTTTCTTTCTCAATTTCTGTAAAACAGAAAACAAAAGTCAGCCTCAAGGATTATAT